GGTTGGGTTGGGTTGGGTTGGGGTTGGAAGGGTCCTTAAAGGTCATAGAACCACAGAATGGTTGGGTGGGTTGGGTTGGGAGGGTCCTTAAAGGTCATAGAACCACAGAATGGTTGGGTTGGGTTGAGTTGGGTTGGAAGGTCCTTGAAGGTTGTAGAACCTTGGAAAGTTTGGGTTGGGTTGGGGTTGGGTGGGAAGGGTCCTTGAGGGACGTAGAACCACAGAATGGTTGGGTGGGTTGGGTTGGGAGGGTCCTTAAGGGATACAGAACCACAGAATTGTTGGGTTGAGTTGGAAAGTCCTTGAAGGTTGTAGAACCTTGGAAAGTTTGGGTTGGGTTGGGTGGGAAGGGTTGTTGAAGGTCATAGAACCACAGAACGGTTGGGTGGGTTGGGTTGGGAGGATCCTTGAAATTTGTAGAACCTTGGAAAGCTTGGGTTGGGTTGAATTGGGTTGGAAAAGTCCTTGAAGGTGATAGAACCACAGAATGGTTGGGTTGGGTTGAGTTGGGTTGGGTTGGAAAGGTCCTTGAGGACATAGAACCACAGAAGGGTTGGGTTGGGCTGGTTTAGGCTGGAAGGATCCTTACAGGTCGGATTGGGTTGGAAGGGACCTGGAAGGTGGCAACCATGGAATGGGGATGGGTTGGGTTGGGTTGGAGGGGTCCTTAAAGATGAGAGAACCACAAAATGGGGTCAGACTGTGTTGGAAGGGACCTGGAAGGTGACTGAACCATGGAATGGGGCTCGGTTGGGTTGGAAAGGTCCTCAAAGGTTATAGAACCGTGGAATGGGGACGGGTTGGGTTGGGTTGAATCCTTAACGATCACAGAACTACAGAACGAGATCAGGTTGGGTTGGAAAGGTCCTTCCAGATCACAGAAATACAGAATGGGATCGGATTGGGTTGGAAGGGACCTGGAAGGTGGCTGGAAGGTGGCAACCATGGAATGGAGATGGGTTGGGTTGGAAAGGTCCTTACAGATCACAGAACCACAGAATGGGATCGGATTGGGTTGGAAGGGACCTGGAAGGTGACAGTGGAATGGGGACGGGTTGGGTTGGGTTGGGTTGGAGGGGTCCTTAACGATCACAGAACGACATCAGGTTGGGTTGGAAAGGTCCTTACAGATCACAGGACCACCCAATGACATCGGATCAGACGGGACCCTTGAGAGCCCCCGGCTCCAACCCAGCCGTGGAGGCGCTCAGACCAAGAAGCGAAGGCCCCGGCCCTCCGCTCGCCCACCTGTGGTGAAGCCAATGAGCGCCTTCTCCCCTCCGTCGAAGCCCGTGATCCACCAGGCGTTGATGGGCCCCAACTTTTTGGCCCTCACCCCACCTGCAGGAGGAAAATCCGCCCCACCTCAGCCCCCGGGGCCGCAGGGCATCCGATCCCAGGGACGGACGGGAGGGGATGGGAGCTCACCGTCCAAACACGGGTTGTCATCGTAGATGGGCTTCACGGCGCCGCTGAAATAGAGCTCGATGTTCCGCTCGATCAGCCCGGTGTCGAAGGGGCACAGATGGCCGCGTTTGTCGTAGACGCTGATGGGGACAGATTTCACACGCGGCGTTTTTCGGGTGCGTTTTTCCCCCCATCAGATTCCCAAC